GAACAGAGAACCCGCCTCCCTGAGAATCGGCGCAAACAGGTTCAACAGTGTGACTGACGCCCATGTCGGAAATTTCGACACTTAATTTACTAATCCCTGGCATAACTAGTTAAAATGGTTATGTCAGGAATATATTAACATTACTAATTTACTAACCTTTCACAGAGAATGAACTTAGCAACATACCAGAGAGAGAATGGAATGTTGCCACATAAGCAAATTCATGATTTATGTGTGATATTTACTCTTGTGAATAACTAAAACCTTCAATCTAGAGTTTAATTACCACAAAAAGTGTTCTCTATGACTAAACATAATTAATTGATACAGAATATCTCAGCTTCCTTCTCTAAGTTGATAATATCGAAATTTGAACCGTGCTGGTGGGATTGTCCCCAGCCGTGAAGGAGGGAACATCCACACCATTGTGCACATGGCAGTTGAGACACTAACATATACCAGCCTTCCTTAAGAATTCGCACGTGCTTGTACCATATACTTCTCGCGATTCTGTGACAAAGAAACTAGTGAAGTCTGCCCAATCCACAACATGCAACCTTGGAAAGTATTTGTCTCAGGTCTACCAGTAAGATATTTCAGTAACTATGGCCAGTAGTGTTGAATATTCTTGTAGTCCGGTTACAAAGCCCAAGAGGCACCCGGAACGGAAAGCTTAATTCATACCATAATTTGTCTCCTATGAATATATACACTGTGTGTAGTGGTAACAGTTTACTACTGATACATTATTTGGCAGGTGTCGTTCAGAAGAGATAGCATCAAGTCCACCTGTTGCGCCATGCGGTTTCCCAAGTCACCATTAAGGCTCCTCTAACTGAGGTTCATCGTTTGTGACCGAAGGAAACTCGGTCTTATCAGTCCTCTTATCAGTTGATTCCGACTCTACAGCTAAGCACTAAACAAATTGTTATCCCATTTGGCCATAGAATTAACATAAATACTGTAGTTTATTATTATCCACCACTGGTGGTATAGGCTACGAACGTATAACCCCCAACTTGTGGAAGGATAACACCCAGAAGACCAATTAATATAACATAGTTCATTTACAACATACAGTCTATTTCAATTAATTAATATTAAGTAATTTTCTACTAGTAATTTAATAGTACTCGAACAAATTCCTGCTGGGAAAATTCCCCACAGCTCGAGCTGCCGAGGCCAGCGCACCAGATGAAGGACCAGCACTCAATGCCTCCACATCTTCCCCAAGCCAGTCCGAGGCACAAGATCGAGGCCAAATGCTCACGAGTGCGCAAGTCCTCAGCTACAAGATGTCGCAAGAGTGGGAACCTGCACGTGCAGCTGTACCAGGCCAACATCCCAAGGAAGCACAGGAGGGAACAACCACACATTAAGGCACTCAAACTCGTCCCCCAAGTAAACCTACAGAACGGTAGCATCCTCCCGCTACTCAAGCGTGGGGGTCCGACAAAACCCATGCCATGCTCCCTGCGAAAAGAAAGGGCCGTCTGCCAGCCAGGAAGACTCAGGGACCTTATAATGCACCCAATACGGAAGAAGAACTGAACTCAAATAAGGACGGATCCATCAGAAATGCAGAATCTGGGTCTCACAGGAAGTACAGAGCCTCCTGAACCTCTTTAGGTGAGATTCGAGCGGCAAAAAACTTTCAGAAGGAAGGAGCAGGAACCCAAGGGAACCCAGAACCAAACCCGGGGAGGAGCCGACCCCAAACCATACTCATACATGGAAGGGGGGTAAGAAAACCCCTCTCCTTGCAACAACAAACCCTACGAAGAGGGGTACCAAAACCCAAGCGGGATCAAAGGGGGGCCTAAGCCCCCCCCCCCCCCAGGACAACTCCCCAGCCCCGGGATCCTCCAAACCAGGCCCCGGGGCAGAACCGACCTCCACACCCTCTACCCCACACCTCTACTAACTAAACACTGCCCTGACTTCGCAACCCCTCAGACGTTTGGGAGCCGGGAGTGGTTTACGAACAACACCAACCGGGAAAAGACTTGGAAGCATGGATAGAACCAAACTCGAAGCGACTAACACCCAACCACCCTAGCATGTTGCAGCAACCTAAACCGAGCATGCAATACAGATGCCGCCTGTACCTGAACCTCAGTGCCAAGAAAAAGGGTAAGTTGGAGTACGAGCAAAGAACACGACTCGCAAGACTCTGGGTCAAAGGTGTCGTGTACTCAGCAGGCAGCATGACAGAGGCAAAACAGGTGATTGTTACCCTGAGACAGGGTGACAAAGCAACTTTTAAACTCGCACGAGGTGAGGTGGAACTCAGAAGATGCATCTACAGTCAAATGAGCCCCAATGGGGTTTTCCAGGGCCCGTAGGCTGCTACAGGAAGCCTAGGCAAGGCACTACAAAAACTAGTTAGGCCCAAACTAACAAGGATAAAACTGCTAAAAACAAACCCCTGCGACGTGTACAATCACGGGGGGGGCCTAGATGTGGGTCACCAAAATATCAAAAGTAGACCAATAGCCAAACAAGGCAAATCCCCCCCTCCAAGCAAGGAAAACAAAAAGAAAAAAAAAACCTTGCAAAAGTACGTCACCAGAAGGAACAGGAACACTGCTGCTGTGTAGGTAGGCAAGCTGCGCAGAACCTTGCACCCCTACCAGCAACAATACCACTTCCTACCCAAGGCCAAACAAAGGCCATGAAAACCCCAGCTGGCCCCAAGGGTGGGGTAATTCCCAAGCAGCAAAGACCTCTACGGAAGCAGTTCCCAAACATTCAATGGAAGAAAACCCTAGAACCCAAAGGTAGTACTTACAGGGCACTTAGGGAAAGGTAGCCCTAAGTGCATGCAGCCCCAGCACTCTCAAATTTTACCTGCCCACTGCACCACACCTCTGCAGAACACACTACTAAGGTACACATCTGCCAAAAATTTGAGGCCAGAGTCAACAATTACCCCCAGATCGCATCAGAAAATAAACTAGTGGTGTTGAGTAGCTGGCGTGGGAGGGTTTGAGACTTCCCCCTCCCTTTTTAGAGGAGGGAAGGGCTGTGCGAACAAGCAGTATGGCAGCGGTGTGTGACATTTGCTTGTTTGCTTGTTCTATAGATTGGGGGAATTCTGCCTCTCTGTTTGGTCTTCGGTTGCAATTTTTCTTATTATGTGAGGTCTGTTTTGTTATGCCTACCATTCTGGGTGCTAACCCCGGTCGATGGCAGACATGGAATGCCCCCCAAGTACAAGAGGGGTTTCCATACACCACTGTTCCCTTTGCCTCTCTGAGAGGGCCAGGTTCTGGCTCGTTGTCCATGGTAGGCTGAACTCCAACTGACTGATGCCCAAGACTAATATATAGTATCGCATATCAGTCCAATAGCTCCAGAGAGCAGGAGGGGCTCCCCATAGAAAACATGACTATCACCTTGAGACAAGGGCACAGAGCAACCTTCAAACTCGCACGAGGCGAGATGAAACTCAGAAGATGCATCTATTGGTTTACCGAGCCCTGGCAGGGTTTTCCAGGGCCCGCAGGCTGATTGCTATGGGAAGCCCAGGCATGGTGCTCCAAAGCTGGTTAAACCCAAGTAACTAACAAAGGGGATGAGCTAAAACTGAACCCATGCGACGTGTACAATCACGGGGGCCTAGAGGAGGGCCACCAAAATACCTTAAGTGCATCAATAGCCAAACAAGGCAGATCCCTCCAGGCAAGAAAACGAAAATAAAAGAAAAACCCTGCAAAAGTACAACGTCACCAGAAGGAACAGGAACACGGCCATCATGTAGGTAGGTGAGCTGCGCAGTACCTTGCGCCCCAACCAGCAACAATACCACTTCCTACCCAAGGCGAAACGAAGGCCACAAAAACTGTAGCTGGTCCAGAGGACGGAGTAAATGCCGAGCAGCAAGAACCCCTACGGAAGTGGAATCCCTAAGGCCATATGGAAGGTAACCCTAGCACCCAGGGGTAGTACTTACAGGGCGCTTAGGGAAGGTAGCCCCTAAGTGCAGGCAACCCCATGACACTGATGTTACACCTGGTCACCACCACCACAAACAGCAGAGAACACCACTAAAGCAAAACAATGCCAAGAAATCGAGGCCAGAATTGACGGCACCCCAGATTGCATCAGCCAACGAATTGGGGATGTGAGAAGAAAGTGTAGATGTCTAGGGCTCCCCCTTCCCTATGGAGGGAAGGGCTGCGTGAACGAGCAGCGCTGCGGCGGTGTGTGACATTTGCTTGTTCTTTAGGTTGTCTGGGTGCCTAACCCTAGACAATGACAGACAAGGAATACCCCCAACCACAGGAGTGGTTCCATTGGCCATTGCTCCCTGTGCCTCTCTTAGGGGACCAGGTGGTCCCTGGTAGGCTGAACTCCAATGACTGATGATCCACACTTAAATATCACATGTCAGTCCAATAGCTCCAGGGAGCCGAAGGGGTTCCCCACAAAAAATAAATAAATAAATAAAATAAACAACAATTATTGTCATAAATTTCGAGATGGATGAGGTGTTCTAGCTCATCGGAATGCTCAAGTGTTAACTGTAATTTTTGGAAGGAGTGTTGAAGTTTTATTTCCAGTCTTTGAGGTTACAGTGAGCAGCCTTTTTATTACTGGTAGATTGAATTATATCTTCTTTATCACACTAATCCAATTAAGGTAACATTTGTAGAGATACTTATCACGGAGGGGGCCAAATATTGACACACACTAATAGGAATGTGGTGTCGAGGGTGAGTACAGACCTTGGCTCTGGAGTGTTTCATGAACTGGACACCCTATCTTTTCAAAGAAGTTGCACACGAGGACTTTCCTTGAGGTTTAAGATTTATAAATTTAATGTCTGCAGTAAAGAATTGTTTGTGTATGGCGTTTGTCTTCATGCACGTACTTCTTGGTATCCCTTGCCCTGTGTTCATTTTTTCATCTTGTATGTCGAATGGTGAGTTTCATAATCTGCTTCAAATTAAAAGGCTTAAATTATTAATATTACTAGATATCACTGCATAACTTACCCTCAACTTCTGTACAAAGCTGACTGAACCACTTCATTGGGCATAGATCGCACAGAAGATTCTCTTGACGTTCCCGAATTTGTGCTTCATGGATGGCTGCAAATGCTTTGCTGAGTGCTGCAACAGAAGATGCACCATAAAATATAAATCATACCTGAAACAATTATAAATTGTGTTGTTATAAGCAAGACTGGCAAAATAAAATAATCAGCGAATATTTGGGTCAGTAAAGCTGAATTAGTTTTAATTTTAATCGTGGGCACTCATTATGGGCTGACACCCACTAAAACAATTGTAAAAATTAATAATTATCTTCTAAGTCTACTTGTATAGTTTAAATGCAAGGCCCCACTTAGTATATCTTGAATATCACTGTCAATAATGCAGCCTGGAGATAAATATTTATAGAAGTAAGTCATGTTGATTTGACTCCATCATTATGGCAACTTTTCCTGCCCATTATCACAGGGCATCAACCGTAATATTTGTAGTGATTGGACCTCACCAGAACCGTAAGACTCTGGCCAACCCATCATACCTACCAAGGCCGGTGTTCACTAGTCTCCAGTATCAAAGCTCTGTACGACTTTGGCCAACCCATCATACCTACCAAGGCCGGTGTTCACTAGTCTCCAGTATCAAAGCTCTGTACGACTCCTGGCCAACCCACCATACCTACCAAGGCCGGTGTTCACTAGTCTCCAGTATCAAAGCTCTGTACGACTTTGGCCAACCCACCATACCTACCAAGGCCGGTGTTCACTAGTCTCCAGTATTGTTGCTCAAATTTAACACCATTTTGAATTTCACTAAACCACAACAATTTTCAAGTTTCCGGTGATAGACCAAAAATTGTGGACAGGGTGAAATTTCCACTGTTTGACTTTTGAGTAGATAATAATTGGGATACAAAATCAAGATAAAAAAAATAGAGTTGAATATAATGAAACGCCATTTTCTGGGTGAGCCACGGAGGCTCCCTGGAGTTTATCAGGCTAATGAGTTTTATATTAGACTGAGTCATTAGCTATGGAGTTCAGACCTACCAGGGACCATGAGCCAGAACCTGGCCCCTTCAGAGAGGTTTCAGAAAGCAATGGCCCTGGAAAACCCCCTTGTTGTCGGGGGTTTTCCTTATCTGCCATTCACCGGGGTGAGGCACCCAGAAAGGTAGGCATAACAAAACAAACTTCCTGTGGTAAGAAACTAAAACAAAAAAACGAACAGAGAGGTAGAACTCCCTACAATCCCAAGGAAACAAACAAACAAGCAAACGTCACACTCTACTGCCGTGCCGCTCATCTGTGCAGCCCTCCCCCCCCCCCCTGAGAGGGGTCGGGAGGCCCCAGACCTCACCGCGCCGGCTGCCTAGCACTCGAGTTCGGAAACTAAATTCCGGGTCTCGCAGGAGGAATGCGTCAAAAGCCTCCAGAAACTCATTCAAAGAGACACGAGAAGCAGAAAACCTCTGGAAAGACGGGGCCAATTTACCCAAAAGGGCCCGGAACCAAACCCGTGGAGGAGCCGAACCCAAATCATACTCATACAGGGAAGTGGGGGGTAAGAAAACACCTCCCCATGGAACAATAAGCCCCACGAGGAAGGCAAAAGCACCCAAGCGGAGTCAACGGGGACCCAAAGCCCCCAGGTCGACTCCTCCCCAGCCCTGAGATCCCCCAAGTCTGGACTAGGAGCAGAGCTGTCCTCCAAACCCTCTACCCCCTAAAGAAAAGGCAGAGTCCAGGGAAGAGGTAGACAAGTAGGGGGCCTGCTGATAGGACCCAGAAGCCTCGGCAGGAGGAACCGGCTCAAATGCCTCTGTCTCCATCCCGAATGGGGCAGCCCCCGAAGCTGTCCGAGTCTCATTACCAACTAAACCTTGTGCCGACTCCAAAAAAATCCTCAGACGTTTGGGAGCCGGAAACAGGGGAAGAGGTGCAAGATGAACAACAGGGGAAGGATCAGGGAGCGCGACGGAACCAAAGTCGAAGCGACTAACGCCCCCAGATCCGGGGGCGTTAGAACCAAAGCGGAGCAGTCGCAGGGCATCTGGGTGAGAAACCAATCTAGCGGGTTGCAGTAACCTAAACCTAACATGCAATGTGGATGCTGCCTGTACCCTAACTGCATCATCATCAGAATAAAACTGGAACACAAGCAGAGAACACGACTCGCAAGATTCCGGGTCAAAGGTGTCGTTGACCCTACAGGCAGCATGACAGAGGCAAAACAGGAGACGGTCATCCTGAGACAAGGGCACAAAGCAACCTTCGAACCCTCACAAGGCAGGTTGGAACTCAGAAGACGCATCCATCGGTCCACCGAGCCCCAACAGGGGCTTCCAGGGGCCGTAGGGTAACAACTGCGGGAAGTCCAGGAGAGGTGTTGCTAACCGATTAAACACCTAAACAAACAAGGGGAAGAGGATAACACTGAAACCCCTGCGACGTATACAATCATGGGGGCCTAGCAGAGGACCACCAAAACAGTATCAGGGGAACTATTGTCCCATAAGGCAGACCCCCACCAGGCAAACGAAAACAAAAGAAGAGAAAAACCCCGCAAAAGTACACCGTCCCCAGAGGCAACAGGAACCAGTCGCCGCGTAGGTGACAGGTCGCGCAACACCTTGACACCCTAACCAGCGTGACACCACTTCTTACCCAAAGCCAAACAATGGCCCCAAGTCCCAGCTGGCCCCCAAGGATGAGGCAATTGCCGGGCAGCAAGAACCCCCACTGGAATGCTTCCCGAACGCCCCAGGGAAGATAACCCTGATACGCAGGGGCAGTACTCACAGGGCACTTAGGGAAGGAAGCCCCTAAGCGCATGCAGCCCCGGCACTGATGAGGTACTCCTGGCCACCACACACCACAACAAGACAGCAGAGAACACCACACAGGCAAACACCGCCCAGGAATTTGAGGCCAGAGAAGTGTCTGTCCCGGTTGACATTAGCTTACGAACTGGAGTATTATGCAGCCAGCACGGTGAGGTCTGGTGCCCTACCCCTCTTGAGGAGGGGAAGACTGTGCGGACGAGCAGCGCGGCAGTAGAGTGTGACGTTTGCTTGTTTCCTTGGGATTGAAGGGAGTTCTACCTCTCTGTTCGATATTGTTTTAGTTTCTTACCATAAGGGGGTTTGTTTTGTTATGCCTACCTTTCTGGGTGCCTAACCCCGGTCGATGGCAAATAAAGAAAAATCCCAACCACAGGGGTTTTCCAGGGCCATTGCTCCCTGAAACCTCTTTGAAGGGGGCCAGGTTCTGGCTCATGGTCCCTGATAGGTCTGAACTCCATAGCTAATGTCCCAGCCTAATATAAAATCACATTAGCCCGATAAGCTCCAGGGAGCCGTAGGGGCTTCCCTCAGAAACTAAAGAAAAACCACGCAAGAGGACAACGCACCCATTTGGAACAGAGCCGGCAGCTATGAAAGGTGACAACTAGCTGCACAGTACCCTGTGCCTCAACCAGTACCGAAACTACCCTCACCCAGTGGCAAACAATGGTACATAAAATGCCACAGTTAACTCCAAGGGCAGTCAATCACCGAGCAGCAAAAGACCTTGCGGAGGTAGACCCCAAGGTGACCTGTGGAAGGTGGCCCCAAGCCCCAAGGGCAGAACTTACAGGGCACCTAGGGAAGGGGACCCTATGCGCATACAGCCCGATTACTTGTGAAATCAGCCACAGAACTGGGGTGCGGGTAGGGCTCCCCCACCTTCCCGGGAATGGGGGATGGTGTACAAACAACAGCGCGGTGATGTGGTGACGTCATGCTCATTTGCTCCATTTCATTTGGAGAGTTTTGTCCACTAGTTCAGCTTTCAGTAGCAACATTTTAATCAGTATAGGGGTTTGTTTTGGGGTGCTTACTTTCTAGGTGCCTGACCCGGGCATTGGCAGACAGAATGCTTCCAGCCACACGGGAATTTCTATAGGCCATTGTTCCGCGTGTCTCTCTGAGGGGGGGGGGGGGGAGAGCAGGTTCTGGCTCGTAGTTTCTGATAGACCTAGAACTCCATGTGCATTGATTGATGCCAGAGTCTAATATATTCATATCAGCCCGGTTAGCTCTGGGGAGCCGAAGGGGCTCCCCCCAGAAAAGTAATTATTATATATCAAGCCAAAGGTCCCAAGAAAGTCAGTGGTAAAGTTCAACCTAAGAAAATAGTTATGAGTAGAGACAGTAGAGGATGTTCCTTCCTCGTTAAGAAAATGTGTGATGTATGGGAAGAACTGCAAAGTTTTGTTGAAAAAACTCACCCAGATAAAGCTATAGCAGGCCATTACATTACCCTTTTTAATGACAATGTGATGTCTCACTACAGACACGTGTTAAAACATAAGGAAAAACAAGTGTTTTTAGACAGATTCTTAGTAAGACAAGCAAGCAGTGAGCCACAACCAGGTCCTTGTGGCATGCCTGCAAAACGTAGGAGAGAGAGTATTCCAGAAATGTCATCAGTGCCTGATGTTATAATGGAAGGGGACTCCCCTTCCAAACACTAACACCTCTCCTCACCGTTTCCAATCGCCAACAAGAGGCCTCAATAAAGGTAAGATATACTGTAGTACAACATATTAGTATTCTATATAAAATGTACAGTATTTGTAAGTTAATATTTTTGGGTGTGTGGAATGGATTAATTAAATTTACATTATTTCTAATAGGAAAATTCATTTCAGTTTCTGTGGAGAGCCCATTCGGCTCCCCAGAACTATATTGGGCTGATGTGTATATATTAGACTGTGGCAACAGTCAATCGAAGGAGTTCTAAGCCTACCGGGGACCAGAGCCAGAACCTGGCCCCCTCAAGAGAGGAAGAACAAGGCTCTCTCAAGACTTCCCCCTCAAGGAAGAACGGCTCATGGAAGGTAACCATGAGGCTGCAAAGGCAGTACAGTGTACTTACAGGGCACCTAGGGAAGGCAGCCCTAGGTGCAAGCCGCCCCAGTACTCATGTGTTATGTCTGGCTCACACACCACCAATACACAGCAACAACACCGCACTGCAGCACAGCGCAACGAGTGGAGCCAGAGTGATCGACCGTCACCAACACAACAGCCTCTTGAACTGAGGAGAGTTGCCAGCGTGGCGGTCTGGGACCACCCTCCCCATCCCGGGGAGGGGGGTTTGCGCAGACGGATGTGCGGCATTTGTTGTGACGTCATACTTGTTTCCTTGGTTTTGATTGGAGAGTTCTGTTATTAGTTCGGCTTTTGGGTTGTAATTTATTTGATCAGCAATACTGTAGTTTGTTTTGGAATTCCTACCTTTCTGGGTGCCTGACCTGGTAGATGCGCAGGTTGCAACCTGCTCTCGCACAAGACAGCACATATATGACTTATTGCTTACAGTCACTATTTCGCTTATAAATAAGTAGACATTTGACATATTTCAAGCAATATTTTTATTCACGGCACTAACTTTTTCTCTCAGTTTTATTAAACAATAGAGATTTTATACAAAATTTGACAATATCCTGAGTTACTTTACAACATATTTAAATATTTTAGTTTTGTTTTATTATTTTTATAAAACTGTAATATCAATATAGGTAAAGGTTCCGTACTAATTATAATATCTTAACATACTAAGAAGGTTAGGTTAGGTTGTGGTTTTCTATTCAGCTTTTCAAGGTAAACTCAAATATTCACAATAAATTAGTATGTCACATATGCACTTATTCATAAGCAAGTGCGAGAACGGATTGCTTACAATTACAAGGGAGTGTCTTTAGGCATTGCTCCTCGTGCCTCTCTTGAGGGGGCCAGGTTCTGGCTCTGATCCCCGGTAGGCTTAGAACTCCTTCGATTGACTGTTGCCATTGCTCGGTCTAATATATACACATCAACCTGGTATAGCTCCGGGGAGCCTCCGGGTCTAACCCAGAAAATGGCATTTCATTACATTCAACGCTGGTTTTATGAATTATTGGTTTATGAATCTTCTCTTGGAAAGGATTAAATTCGTAAATGAAGGTACCACTGTATATAACATAATACAGTAATACACAAAGAATTAGACAACATTTTCCAGTTTGAGTAATGGAAACTAAATCCTCTCAAGTATATTTCATTAACATATTATATTTCATTAACATATAACATTCATTAACATTAACATAGGCGGCACAGGCTTACCTTGCATAATTTCATCTGTAACTGAGCTCATCTGACACTTAAAGACATATCCAAGGTAGCAAGGGGCTTCTCCACTTAACTCACGACAGATAAATCCAAAGTGGTCATTATTTTTAACTCCCTGGAAGTAACAGTGATAAATCCAGTTATAATGTAATTTAAATACACAAAACATAAAGCCTTAAAAACTATTATATATACTAATCATTATAAACATTAAAGGCTTCATATTAAGGCAAGTAAGGACTGTATTCCCAATCTCCTATCCCAGCAAATTATACCTCACTATAAAATTGTATGATAGAGTATACTGTATTCATGAAATAAGATGGCTATCACCACCCTTCCCCCTCCATTAAAAACAATTGTATGGAATAAACTAAACAATAAACTTCCACTTTTAAACTCAAAATAAGAAGGATCCATTATCGAGGCGTAATCTGGGTCTCGCCACAAGGTTACGAGATAACCAGTCACAGTATCTCGTAAGCCACAAGGGCCTCCCGCATCTCCTTCAGCGGGATACGGGAAACCAAAAACCTCCGGAAGGAGGTAACCGAGGAACCCAAGGGAACCCAGAACCGGATCTGGGGAGGAACCAAACCATATCAAACTCGTACAGGGATGGGGGGATAGAAAAACCCTTACCCCTGTAACAACAAGCCCTGTACCACGAGTACCACCCAAGCGGGGTCAAATGGGGCCTAAGCCCCCCAGTCCCAGGATTCTCTAATTCAGGAACCAGGGCCAAGCCGTTCTCCAAACCCTCTGCCTCTGGAGAAAAGACAGACTCCACCAGAAAGGCAGGGATGAAGGGGGGCCCGTTGGCATGACCCAAAAGCCCCGGCAGGAGGAACAGGCTCGAATGCCTCCGCTGCCGATCCGTAAGGAGCAGTCCCTGAAGCCATAGTTCCCGAAGCCGCCCGAGTCTCACCACCAAGAAAACCCTGCCCCGACTCCGAAACCCTCAGATGTTTGGGAGCTGGGAGCAAGGGGTGGGAGCAGGATGAACCCCAGCAAGGAAAGGACAAGGGGGGTGCGGACGAAACCAGAGTTGAAGCGACTAACACCCCAAAGTCCAGGTTAATATAACCAAAGCAGGGCAGCCGCAGGGCAGTCGCGGGGCAGCCACAGAGCATCCGGATAGACAATTAACCTAGAGCATTGCAGCAACCTAAACTGTGCATGCAACGCAGATATTACCTGCACTCGATGAACAGCATTATCGGACTGGGTGAACTGGAGTACACGCAAGGAACATCACTCACAAGACTACGTGTCAAACGTGTCATCAACCCAACAGGTAGCATGGCGGAGGCAAAGACAGTGAATGTCATCCTGAGCCAAAGGGACAGAGCAACCTTCAAACTCGCATGAAGCGAGGCCGGACTCGGAGGTCTCCTCCATCGGTGAGTGAAGACCTCCAGTCAGTGCTCACTGGAGTGCTCCTCCAGTGAGACCCAATGGGGGTTCCCAGGGTCCTGACTGCTAAGGGAAGCCCAGGCAAGGTAGTGCTAACCAGTTATCCCAGAACTACCATGCATACAAACCAAAAGCTGAACCCCTGCGACGTGTGCAATCACGGGGACCCAGCGGAGAGCCACCAAAATCATACAAGTGGTCCTACAGAAACACCAAGAAAAACCCCACCAGGCAAAAGAAAAGAAAAGAAAAGAAAACCTCACAAAAGCACAATGTCCCCCAGGGGAACAGAACCAGCCGCTATGTGTCTATCAAACAGCTGCACAGTATCTTGCGCCCCAGCCAGCGATGATACTACCTCCTACCCAAGGTCAAGCAGGTGTAAGAACAACCCCAGCTGACCCCAAGGGCAGCCAATCACCTAGCAGCAAAAGAACCGTGCGGAGGTAGTCTCCCAAACGGCTCATGGAAGACAACCCTAAACTGCAAGGGCAGTACTTACAGGGCACCTGGGGAAGGTGACCCTAGGTGCATGCAGCCCCAGTATTCTTGTGTTACTCCTGGCTTGCACACCACCGCACAAAAGAACAACGCCGCTATGGACAGCACTGCTTAAAAGGATGGAGCCAGAGTCAATTGACCGCCACCAATCACAACAGCCTCTGAACTGGGGTTGGGTAGCCGGCGCGGGAGGTCTTGGATTCCCTCTTCCCCCACCCGGGGAGGGGGAAGTTGCGCAGACAGCAGTGCGGCGGCTGTGATGACGTCATGCTTGTTTGCGTATTTTCGATTGGGTAGTTCTGTTTGCTAGTTCGGCTTTCAGTTTGCAATTTTTAACTAGCTGTAGTTTGTTTTGGAATTCCTACTTTCCTGGGTGCCTGACCTGGTAGATGGCAGACATAAGACTGCCTCCAACTACATGGGGGTGTCTATAGGCCATTGTTCCTCATGCCTCTCTGAGGGGGGCCAGGTTTCGGCGCTGGTCCCCGGTAGGCCTAGAACTCCATCGACTGACTGCTGCCACGGTCTAATATATACACATCAGCCCGATATAGCTCCAGGGTGCCGAAGGGGCTCTCCACAGAAAATACCATAAAAGCCAAAGCTGTACGGAGCACCACAGGCAGAAAAAGCAGGGAAGTCAGCGGAGAAAACCAAAATCATAGTCAGAGCAGGTGGTGCAGAGGAAGGGGGCCAGCAGATAGCAGATACCTCAACACCTTAATAGCAAGGTAAGAAATTATATAAAGCAGTGAAGCACTGCATTGAATTTTCCACTTAAGTGTGACAGTGGCGATGTTACACGGTGATGATATGTGGTGTGAATGATAGTGATTAATATTCAATTCTCCTATCTTAACCCTTCTTTTTCTATATTACTCTCCTGTTTCCTTCATGCTAATAAACCCATCAGAGTGGGAATCTGTGATATAATAAAAATGATGATGATGGCTGCATATATATATATATATATATATATATATATATATATATATATATATATATATATATATATATATATATATATATATATATATATATATATATATATATATATATATATATATATATATACAGTGGTACCTCGCATAACGATTGCCCCAAAAGACGAATATTTTGGGTAACGAACGGCCCGATCGGCGTCAAATCGTCCCGTATGACGAACGCTGGTTTGAGTAACGTCAACACAACATGGTGGGGTCGCGCTGCTGCTTGCACATTCTTAGACGCCTCCGACGATGCACATAAATTATGTTGTTCTTGTTTAAAGATGCTAATGATGCTGGGATATAAAAGGGTGACTACTGAGATGTTGCAAAGCATTGACGTTTTTGTAGGAAAAAAGAAATGAAATATATGATATACAACAAATGTCAAAAAAGTTCGTTCGGTGTTCGGCAGGTAGGCTGCTCCATTATAACACTCTTTCTTTGTTTCAAATGTGTTCCATTTGTTTTTTATTTGTCATTTACGTCTCAATAATGGAGAAGCCTACCTTACATACACTGAATAAACCATTATGACATTTTCCTTTCTTCAAATGTGTTCAATATTTATTTTTCATTTGTCTTATAGCAAAAGGTTCGTTCGGTGGTCGGCAGGTAGGCTGCTCCATGTTTCTTACATACAAAAAACGTAAATAATAAAAAAAATGAAGAATTTTGAAAACCAGTACAAATGTCAAAAAGGTTCGTTCGGTGGTCTACAGGTCGACTGCTCCATGTTTCTTAAAAAAAAAAAAAAACGAAAAATAAAAGAACTGTTGAAACAATTTGAAAAATGGACAAATGTCATAAAGGTTCGTTCAGTGTTTGTCGGGTAGGCTGCTCCATTATTGAGACGTAAGTGATAAATACAAAACAAATGGAACACATTTGAAACAAAGAAAGATTGTCATAATGGAGCAGCCTACCCAACAAACACTGAACGAACCTTTTGCTATAACGAATATGAAAGACAAGGGCTGCTGGCTGGGTTAGTAGTGCGTGAGCAACCGTTTGTAGCACACATGCCTCTGGCTCTGAAACACCTGTCCCACACGGTGTTGAAAGACTGTACTCAGTCAGTGCAATTCAGACCCTATTGTTTGAAGAACATAAGGGTCATAACATTGGTGAAGCTAGGCGCAATAAGGGCTTAACACAACGGTCGGATGCCTGTGATACAGCACCTATGAGGATGATACAGCGAGCGTATCCAGGTGTAGCTCTGAGCCCCACCCTTGCCATCTCTAATGTATATAGATGATACATAGATGAATCGTTTTCTGCGTTCAGTGATGATGCATCTGATACAAGTAGCATAGATGAACAGTGTTAGCGGCTTCCATGGTGGTGGTGTTCATTGATATTTTTAAGAATACCTGAATCTTTTCCTGACTGATGGACACTCTTTGAGGCTAGCTGAATCTCTTCCTGACTGATGGACACTCTTTGAGGCTAGCTGAATCTCTTCCTGTGTGGGACCTTACAAAGCGATCTTTTCAAGACTACCTTACAAATTGAGCTTTTCCTATAATCGTTTCAATACTACTTTATGCTTTACAAGCTTGGCTACATACCACCTACAAGTACTAAAGCCAAGGGTGCACGCGAGTGCGTTATTTGCAAGCACACAGAACGATGAAACAGGAAACAAAAATCTATCTGTAGCTGGTGCAAGGAGAGCAAAGTCGCGCTGTGTACCATGGACTACTTCGTTGACTATTATGCACCTCCAAAGTACTGAGTGTGTAATACAGTGTGTTACTGTGTAAATAGTATGTGAAACTGTACATATTGTAATATTAGTGAATTTTTACCACGTAATATTGTGACAATAAACATTTATTGTGGACACATTACTGACACATGTATCACAGTTTCATGGAAAATTATGAACATTCTACTGTATACATATTGTAAAGGTCACAAATATGCATCATATACGATAAATGAAACAAATAAAACCGCATTGGAAATGCATAGGAAAAATATTTGAAAATATATTTGTGGCAACACGCGGTGCTTGAATGGCCTGCGCGACCGTGTCTGGGAGCTTCACACACGGGCGACCAGCCCCTGATGACGTCACAGCGCACCTTGTCCACGCCCTCACAGCCAAAGTAAGTGGAATTTGGTAATTATTTTTACATAGACATGTTCAGGGACGGTAATTTATCATTTTACAAAGAAAAATTATATTTTGGGGAACATTTGATGTCATGCACACTAGGGAAATTTCACAATAAACACAGTGCATCACACTGGTTACATGGGGGACACTCGTTTTGTATGACGTCCGTTTCACATGACGAACATGGAACGGATTAAATTCATTATGGGAGGTACCACTGTATATATATGTATATATATATATATGGTGCTCAATAACAACAACAGTGTGTAGTCAAAATAATTGTCAACATTTTTACTTAAAGTTAACATAAACAAATATTTTCCAATATGATATTTACCTGGCAACAGTGGGCAATATCTTTGAAGTTTTTGTTCAACTGGACTGACTTCATTTCTGGGTTAATCAACTGGATTTCACTGCGGCCAATGTGGAATAACATGGTACGGTTGAAGTCCTGGCTCAGCATCTGAAACATTCAGTACATATTCTTTTTCAAGGAGTTATTAAATACCTTATTTACACATAATATAGTGCTTGTAGTTCTTCTATTACAGTACAGTTATACAATTTTTGCATGTGATATAAAATCATATAAAAGCATATAATGGTACTGTATATACAAATGTTTTCAACCAAATTTAGAGTTTAGTACTTCCGTTATTATTATATTATTATAACCTATATGACCAGAAGCTTTTGTGGATATTGTCTGTAGCCAGTACCAGAGAGCTTAGCCAATCCCTGCTAGCACAAGTTACATCAAGTAGAAAAGCCTAAATTGTAAATTATGTTTCCCACATTCCAAGTGGAATGATTTATATACAGTACAACCTCGATTCAACGTACGCCGATTCAATGAATCTTCGGCGTAGTTCGCAGACTTTTCAGGCCGGATTTACTCACCCGGTTCGACAAACAATGGTTCTCTGAAGCGGGGGATGTTCGGATGTACTTACAATGTTGAGACAGAGTTCACAGACTGGTGGAAAACTTTCCCATTCTATCACAGATTACAATTAATAATTCTCTCATATGACAAGTTCAATCACACAAGTGGACCACACATGTGGGCAACAAGTGGACCACACATGTGGGTCCACTTATGTGGACCCAGATGTGGGCCCAGATGGAGTTTCACCATGGGTTCTGAGAGAATGTGCATCTGAGCTCAGCATTCCACTTCACCTGATCTTTCAGGCATCCCTGTGTACAGGAGTCGTAGCAGACGTGTGGAAACAGGCTAACATAGTTCCAATCTACAAAAGTGGAAGCAGGGAAGACCCCCTTAATTATAGACCTGTATCATTGACAAGTGTAATACAGTAGTGAAAGTATTGGAAAAACTAATCAAAACTAAATGGGTAGAACACCTGGAGAGAAATGATATAATATCAGACAGACAGTATGATTTTCGATCTGGAAGATCCTGTGTATCGAATTTACTCAGTTTCTATGATCGAGCCACAGAGATATTACAGGAAAGAGATGGTTGGGTTGACTGCATCTATCTGGACCTAAAAAACCAGCGTTGAATGTAATGAAACGCCATTTTCTGGGTGAGACCCGGAGGCTCCCCGGAGCTTTACCGGCTGATATGCTAATGTCAGACTTTGGCATCAGTCATGTGTATGGAGTTCTAGGGCCTACCGGAGACCACGAGCCAGAACCTGGCCCCCCTCAGAGAGGCAAGGGGAGCAATGGCCTATAGAAACCCCCGTGTGGTTGGAAGCATTCTATGTCTGCCATCGACCGGGTAAAGCTCCGGGGAGCCGACGGGGCTCTCCCCAGAAAAGGCTTTCGACAGTTCCGCATAAGAGGTTGTTCTGGAAACTGGAAAATATTGGAGGGGTCACAGGTAAGCTTTTAACATGGATGAAAAATTTTCTGACTGATAGAAAAATGAGGGCAGTAATCAGAGGCAATGTATCGGACTAGAGAAATGTCACAAGTGGAGTACCACAGGGCTCAGTTCTTGCACCAGTGATGTTTATTGTCTACATAAATGATCTACCAGTTAGGATACAGAATTATATGAACATGTTTGCTGATGATGCTAAGATAATAGGAAGGATAAGAAACTTAGATGATTGTCATGCCCTTCAAGATGACCTGGACAAAATAAGCATATGGAGCACCACTTGGCAAATGGAATTTAATGTTAATAAATGCCATGTTATGGAATGTGGAATAGGAGAACATAGACCCCACACAACCTATATATTATGTGAGAAATCTTTAAAGAATTCTGATAAAGAAAGAGATCTAGGGGTGGTTCTAGATAGAAAACTATCACCTATGGACCACATAAAGAATATTGTGCGAGGAGCCTATGCCACGCTTTCTAACTTCAGAATTGCTTTTAAATACATGGATGGCAATATACTAAAGAAATTGTTCACGACTTTTGTTAGGCCAAAGCTAGAATATGCAGCGGTTGTGTGGTGCCCATATCTTAAGAAGCACATCAACAAACTGGAAAATGTGCAAAGACATGCTACTAAGTGGCTCCCAGAACTGAAGGGCAAGAGCTACGAGGAGAGGTTAGAGGCATTAAATATGCCAAAACTAGAAGACAGAAGAAAAAAGAGGTGATATGATCACTACATACAAAATAGTAACAGGAATTGATAAAATCGATAGAGAAGATTTTCTGAGACCTGGAACTTTAAGAACAAGAGGTCATAGATTTAAACTAGCTAAACACAGATGTCGAAGGAATATAAGAAAATTCACTTTTGCAAACAGAGTGGTAGACGGTTGGAACAAGTTAGGTGAGAAGGTGGTGGAGGCCAAGACCGTCAGTAGTTTCAAAGTGTTATATGACAAAGAGTGCTGGGAAGACGGGACACCACGAGCGTAGCTCTCATCCTGTAACTACACATAGGTAATTACATGTTTATATTTACTACCTCAACATTTTTATCACACTTCAAGCATGCAAGTGTGTATAAATGATAGATTATAAACTTACTTTCAGATCATTATCAAAAGGACGTAATCCGCGGTTCCTCTGTGTCATGCTGCCAATGGAACCTGTGCGAGTTCTCATCCCCTGATCCTGATTGTGTGATGACCTGGTGAGGAAATAATAACTATACTGTACAGGCCATCATGCCAAAAAACCAGTGTTGAATGTAATGAAATGTAATTTTCTGGGTGAGCCCCGGAGGGTTCCTGGAGCTTATCGGGCAATTGTATGTTATATTAGACCGGGACATTAGCTAAGGGGTTCAGACCTACCAGGGACCAGCACCAGAACCTGGTCCCTTCAGAGAGATTTCAGGGAGCAATGGCCCTGGAAAACCCCCTTGTGGTTAGGATTTTCCAGGGCCATTGCTCCCTGAAACCTCTCTGAAGGGGCCAGGTTCTGGTGCTGGTCCCTGGTAGGTCTGAACTCCTTAGCTAATGTCCTGGTGTAATATAACATACATTAGCCCAATAAGCTCTAGGGAGCTGTAGGGGTCTCCCCACAGAAAACTAGTGTTAAATGTAATGAAATGCCATTTTCTGGGTAGAACCCCAGAGGCTCCCTGGAGCTATTAGACTGATATTAGCTAATATTAGTACTGAAACACTAAGTCAAGAAACACTACTCTAAACTTATCAAAGTACAGGGTACCTCAGTTTAAGAGTTTAATCCGTTCCAGGAGACAGCTCGTAATCCGAAAACTCGTAAACTGAAGCTAATTTCCCCACAAGAAATAATGGGAAATGAATTAATCCATTCCTGACTACCCAAAAACCTCACTTCAAACTAAATTTTATACCAATGGAAGATGGTGAGGAGGAGGGAGGAGAAGAGGAGTTACTGTTTGGAAGGGGCGTCCTCTTCCATTATAACATCAGGCAGTGAGGACTTCACTGGTGTGCACTCTCTGGCACATTTTGCCTGCATGCCACTAGGACCTGCTTGTGGCTCACGGCTTGCTTGTCTTACTAAGAATCTGTCTAAAGACACTTGCTTTTCCCTACATTTTAACACTTGTCTGTAGTAAGACATCACATTGTCATTTAAAAGGTCAATGCAACGGCCTGCTACAGCTTTATCTGGGTGAATTTTTTCAACAAAATTTTGCAATTCTTCCCATACTTCACACATTTTCTTAATGAAGAAGGGACATCCTCTACTGCCTCTACTCACAACTATTTTCTTAGGTTGAACCGTACCACTGGCTTTCTTGGGAACCATGGCGCGATATATAACAACAAATTTTTATGCTCAAATGGCCAAAAATCCAACAAAAAACTGTAAATCCTTGTGAAAAATTCAGGCGGGATAGTCACTGGGCGTGAGGCACTGGTAAACTGAGGCGCGATCGCCGTGCCACCACGTGCTAGTCGTCCTATACGCGTATCAACACCCTCGTCTTCCGAGGCAACGCTCGTATTCCGATGTAAATTTTCCGAGCAAATCTTGCTCGTATTCCGAAAAACTCGTATACAGGGACACTCGTATTCCGAGGTACCACTGTAATGTATTGTGGCTCTATAGTCTAACTAATCAATGTTGATGGCATCAGATAGTAAACTGAGGGCTTCCCATTTCCCTAACACATTTGCAATGTGGTGCTACCATCTAATGACAGTGGGTGTAATAGTGTGTTTGGGGTCTTAGCTATTTCGGAAAGAGCCTGGTTGATTTTTGTTTCAAGGTAGATTTAGAAAGGGGTTGGGTAATTTTAAGGATTTGTGTAATTACCTAAGTGTAGTTACAGGATGAGAGCTACGCTCGTGGTGTCCCGTCTTCCCAGCACTCTTTGTCATATAACGCTTTGAAACTACTGACGGTCTTGGCCTCCACCACCTTCTCACTTAACTTGTTCCAACCGTCTACCACTCTATTTGCGAAGGTGAATTTTCTTATATTTCTTCGGCATCTGTGTTTAGCTAGTTTAAATCTATGACCTCTTGTTCTTGAAGTTCCAGGTCTCAGGAAGTCTTCCCTGTCGATTTTATCAATTCCTGTTACTATTTTGTACGTAGTGATCATATCACCTCTTTTTCTTCTGTCTTCTAGTTTTGGCATATTTAATGCTTCTAACCTCTCCTCGTAGCTCTTGCCCTTCAGTTCTGGGAGCCACTTAGTAGCATGTCTTTGCACCTTTTCCAGTTTGTTGATGTGCTTCTTAAGATATGGGCACCACACAACAGCTGCATATTCTAGCTTTGGCCTAACAAAAGTCATGAACAATTTCTTTAGTATATCGCCATCCATGTATTTAAATGCAATTCTGAAGTTAGAAAGCATAGCATAGGCTCCTTGCACAATATTCTTTATGTGGTCCTCAGGTGATAGTTTTCTATCTAGAACCACTCCTAGATCTCTTTCTTTATCAGAATTCTTTAAAGATTTCTCACATAATATATAGGTTGTGTGGGGTCTATGTTCTCCTATTCCACATTCCATAACATGACATTTATTTACATTAAATTCCATTTACCAAGTGGTGCTCCATATACTTATTTTGTTCAGGTCATCTTGAAGGGCATGACAGTCATCTAAGTTTCTTATCCTTCCTATTATCTTAGCATCATCAGCAAACATGTTCATATAATTCTGTATGCCAACTGGTCGATCATTTATGTAGACAATAAACATCACTGGTGCAAGAACTGAACCCTGTGGTACTCCACTTGTGACATTTCTCCAGTCCGATACATTGCCTCTGATCACTGCCCTCATTTTTCTATCAGTCAGAAAATTTATCATCCATGTTAGAAGCTTATCTGTCACCCCTCCAATATTTTCCAGTTTCCAGAACAACCTCTTATGTGGAACTCTGTCGAAAGCCTTTTTTAGGTCCAGATAGATGCAGTCAACCCAACCATCTCTTTCCTGTAATATCTCTGTGGCTCGATCATAGAAACTGAGTAAATTCGATACACAGGATCTTCCAGACCGAAAACCATACTGTCTGTCTGATATTATATCATTTCTCTCCAGGTGTTCTACCCATTTAGTTTTGATTAGCTTTTCCAATACTTTCACTATTACACTTGTCAATGATACAGGTCTATAATTGAGGGGGTCTTCCCTGCTGCCACTTTTGTAGATTGGAACTATGTTAGCCTGTTTCCACACGTCTGCTACGATTCCTGTACACAGGGATGCCTGAAAGATCAGGTGAAGTGGAATGCTGAGCTCAGATGCACATTCTCTCAGAACCCATGGTGAAACGCCATCTGGGCCAGCTGCTTTGTTCTTCCCGAGCTCCTTTAGCATATTTTCCACTTCATCTCTAGACACCTCTATCCGCTCTATGTTGTGCCATATAAGCAGTTATTTCAGGGTGGATTGAGGTTGGCTCTTTACTGAGCTCTTTTACCCCTTTCAGGAGGGGAACAAGACAACTTGAAAAGGTACTTGTCCTTCTAAGGCATAAGGTCACACTCAAGAGTTTGGCATAATGTCTGTGTTCTATGTAGGACAATGACATGAGGCATAAGGGGAGCTACCAATAGATTCTAGTTGAGTAATTAGTTAAACAGTACACACCTAGAAGTGAATTTCAAAGCTTGTATAACTCCCCTGCATTGAGACAACAGTTTCTAGGGAAAACTAGCTAATAATTTATTTTTCACTGCTAAGCTCAGGAAAGTGATGTTGGGTTGTTAGGATGAATGTAAGAAGATGGCTCTCTTGCCTAAATTTGATCCTTGATAAAGACCATTTGCAAAAGCTCCTTATCAGGCTTTTGAAAGGCGAAGAGAACTTACCACAATAACCTTGTCCTGGTAGGTGTATTTGGCTCCTGGCTAAAGGAGCATCCGAGGGATCATAGCTTAGAAATGAAGCACACTATATATATATATATACAATACTCTGTACGCAAAGTTTGCAAGTACTGTACAGTATTATCCAAATATGAAAGAAGGATATGGTTTAGCAAATATAGATGCACTTGCCTCCTTTGGGGTCCAGAATATGCATATGAATAACATCAAAATACAGTACTGACTTATGAAATATATGACTAGAATCTCCGCTGACTGTCCTGAGACGCTGCCTAAAGGGTTCAACATTTGACAGCTCTGCCTTTCTTCCTGCTTCATTCTCGGCTTTTCCCGCCTTTTCTCCAGAACCTAAAAATTATCAGAAACATTCATAAAAACTTTATGATGAATATCCATTACAAAGGCAAAAAATTAAAAAATCTTCACATTATATATACACACATTTATGTAAGATACTGACAATAATATTTATATGAATCAAAACAATACAGGAAAAAAATGAAAAGCAAAAGCACTCACTATCAGAAGTTGACTTTTCACATTCTCCTCCTGAAATACTTGAGGACCTGTGAATTGTTACAGGTACCATATCAACAGGCGGAGGTAAGCAGGTCTGGGCAGACGCTGGCAGAAATAAGTCCGCAGATTGTGGTACATTTATAACATTAGGACTCTCAGCTGGAGACTCTGGAGCCTGTTCAGTGCTTGACCACAGAGAAAATTTCACTTTAGAATTCTTCTGGCCTTCTTGATTGTCTTGCTCTTGCTTCCCTTTATCTGGCAATTCTATTTTACCTAGGTCCTATTCCAATTAAAAATAATACATTAGTAAAATTAACAATATACTACATTATAAATACACACTCTTACTCCATATAATTACCTAAGTATAAATACGCAAATGTAGCTACAGGTAATAATCAGCGTTGAATGTAATGAAATGCCAGTTTCTGGGTGAGCCCCGAAGGCTCCCTGAAGCTATCTGGCTGATATAGTGCTATATTAGTTGGGGTCATTGGTCGCAAGAGTTCTTGTTGTCTACCTGGAACCAGAGCCCGACCTGGACCCCTCAAAGAGGCGCAGGGAGCAATGGCCTATGAGCACTTTATATTTAAAGTATAGTACAACCTCGATTCAACATACCACGATTCAATGAATCTCCGGCTAGGTCGTACACTTTTCATGCCGAATTTACTCACCCGGTTTGACAAACAATGGTTCGCCGAAGCGGGGGAAGTGTGGATTTGCTTACGATGTTGGGACAGAGTTCACAGACTGGTAGAAAACTTTCCCATTCTATCACAGGTTACAATTAATAATTCCTTGATATGACAAGTAGGATCACACAAGTGGACCACACAACAAGTGAAGCATATTAACCAAACACCAGCCGAGTGGTCCACAAAAATGAATGACTGAGTTTCAATGATTTTCGTTCACCGATTTGTGGCACATGTATCTTTGCAAATTAATTTAAGGGCCGAAGCGTGAATATCTAGCTAATGTGTCGAAATCTTCTTATATACATTTTCTGTGACGAAACAAGATGAGTGAGGGTGGACAGATAAGGGAATACTGTGCTGTAAACCTCACTTTACAGTGAGGTTTCATTCACTTTCGTCTGTGTCATCATAGTTCAGTGACCCATGACTTTGAAAGTTAATAAATCATTTCTAAAACCGGTGTTTTAATAGCTCCTTATTATCCTAATTAAACTAAATTAAATAAAACCAAAAATATACTGTAATATGATAGACATCTGCTACTTGAGAAGTTATTCATGTTATTGGCACAAGAACTCCAGCGCGAGTGGATGGGTTTAATCCGTGTGCACACAACACCATGAGTATTTTGTTCGATTTCGTCGCCACAATTCGGTGACCTACGGCTTCGAAATAATAAAATTAATAAATCAGTTTTAAAATAAGTATTTTTTTTATAGCTCTTATTAACGTAATAATGTTGCTAAACTAAATATATAACCAAAAAATATATACAGTAATTTGATGTAAATCCAATATTTGAGAGAAATTTATGTTACTTGATCTGGCTTAAACACCAGCCTACTGTAGGGTGTATAGACCTAGTCGGCGTTCATATAGCAGGCACCCAGTGCCATTAGTTTTGTCTGTAACGTGTTTATCCGCCGGTGGAAAAATAATCATGGAATTTACCATTTTTTTTACTACAGCTGTACTGTTATACAACAAGATATCTCAGAGGCTTGCTATTAGTGCCTTAATAGTGTCAAAAATAAGTCAATATTTTGCAAGAACTAGTAGCAGAAAATCAACCAGCACAGCCATACCCAGTACAAGCACAGCTGTACTCAGCACAAGCACAGCTGTACCCAGCACAAGCACAGCTGTACCCAGCACAAGCACAGCTGTACCCAGCACAAGCGGGGCAGGAAATTCTCCTAAAGTTTCAAAACACCATGAAAAACGTTAATTGAAAGTTTCCTCTCCTAACCTTTAACCGTTTCCTCTCCTAACAAGTAAGCCGGAGGACTCAAACAGAAAATGGGACAATAAATCACTTTTGTGAGAGGATTTCATTTCAAATTACGTCCATTTTTGGCCATAGTGCGTATACGAGTGAAAAGCGACATTATTTTTTAAGAGGACGGGTTGGACAGACATGTCCGCCTCTACACTTAGCCTCAACCCCGTTAGTAGCTCCCTCCTCCATAGCCTGTGGTTCTCATTTTATGAGAAAGGCAGTGAGGAAGGGATGGAAGACATTGAGGAAGGGATGGAAGGCATTAAGGGAGGGATGGATGGAAGGCAGTGATAGAGGTAGACAACCCTATCACAGACCAAAATAACCTTCGCAGTGATAGGAAAAGCAGAAGGACCGCCAGGAAACTACACACTGCCACAGAGACGAAGCACGCCATGTGGGAGACCAACAACGAAGCCACTAGTACCAACACAAGTGACGAGAAACACAAGACAAAAAAAAAACAGACGCGTAGACTCTAGGGGAAGAACAAACAAGCCTCGTACAGAGCTGGACCGACCTGCAAAAAGAGGCGGAACCGCGGGAAGACCCTCAGGAACGGAAATGGAGCAAAGCAGAACCCCAAACCAGGATCGGCAAGAATCGGAAGGAAAAGACCCCCAAGGAACCAGGAAGCCAATCCCGGCGAGCCGGGAAGGGACCAACCCAAGCAAGCAGACACGTCCCACCCAGGAGGAACCCCCCTTCCCCCCTCGGAACCCCTGAAGGACCAACAAGGCCGAAAACTAAAGAGCCAGGGGCCCAGGCAGAGGCCAACAAGAAAAACGAGCACCGCGAACTAATGTGCGAGATGCTAAGCGAAAAACAGTGACCCCGCAACCCGCAGGAGCAGCGCAACCAGCAGGGAAGAACAACACACGCGTCCCCGAGGTATACACGAGTAGAACTACTCAGGACGTGCACTACAGGAAAACAAAAATGTACGTCCCGGAAAAGGAACAAAGAAAAGCCATAGCCAGGACCGGAATCCGAGCTCCCCCTGTCCCAAAGAAAAGGAACAGAAAAAACAGGAGTGGTCGATCGGAAGTCTACAACCATCTGCAGACATTGTAACAAAGAAGCTGGCAGTGAGATACAAGGAAAAAGTGAAAGAACACAGTTCCATAACTGAACACCAGGGCGGGCCAAAATCCAGGCACCAAAGATAGGCAAGGAAGGAGTGACCAGAAAACTGAGACCGAGTCAATGAATGAGTATACAGAAAGCACGGACTGAGGGAACGAGGGAACATCCAGACATCGAGAAAAAACCCAGGTGCCAAAAGCCTAGACAAAAGGCACTACCGTGACACGACACAGCTGAGCCGTGCAATGTACCAGGAGCATCCCTAGTGGAGAAAGTCCAGAGGTGCGTGCCCAGTAGGAGAAGACGAGATGCATGCAGTACAGAGGTGGAGGAGGCGCCACGCTGAGCCAACCTACACCCGCAAGCAGAGAAAAAACTAGATGACAGCTTCACATATAAAATCCAGAACATCCCGAGTATCCAGGGAGGGGTATGACTGGAGATAAGAGGAGCGAGAACGGCGCATAATCCGCAAGAAAGGACGCGTAACCAACACATGTGCACACCGCCCAAAACATTAAAACCTCTCTCTATTAGGTGATTAGGTGAGTACACCGCCCAAAACAAAACAAACCCCCCACCTTTACGCCTGAGGTCCGAACCCCACACCCGTCTACCAGGGAGGGCGCCAGTATGGCGTATATAACGAATAATAGGAATGGCGAGACAGGAAGAATAAACAACGTGAAGACAAAATAATGTGAAAACAGATTTGAAAGAAGACAAGTAACACTCAAGAGGACCAACGAGTCCGTTAAAGGACCAGAGGGAAGCCTCACCGGAAGTCAACAGACGTTCCAATAATATTGGAAGTATCGAAGAGTTTCGCGAACCTTCGAGAATCATAAGAAGCAAGCACAAATTCATGGAGGTACATATGGACCTAAAGACACCCCTGACCAAGGGACATGCAGCGATCCCGATACGAAGGGAACATTATTACGACAGAATCGCAAAAAATGTGAGGAAATGGGTGAAAAGCACCCCCAAGAATGTCGGAAAGCCTTTAACACGGTACCCCATAAGAGGCTGATGCATAAGTTGGAAAAACAAGCAGGAGTAACTATTAGGGTGTTTCATTGGATAAGGGAGTACCTAAGCAATAGGAAGCAGAGAGTTAAAGTGAGGGGTGAGACTTCAGATTGGTGTGAATTCACCAGTGGGGGTCCCACAGGGCTCTGTACTCAGACCTATCCTGTTTCTGATATACATAAATGATCTCCCAGAGGGTATAGACTCATTCCTCTCAATGTTTGCTGACGACGCCAAAATTATGAGAAGGATTAAGACAGAGGAGGACTGCTTGAAGCTTCAAGAAAACCTGGACAAGCTGCAGGAATTGTCGAACAAATGGTTGTTAAGAGTTTAACCGACGCAAATGTAATGTAACGAAGATAGGTGTAGGGAGCAGGAGACCAGATACAAGGTATCATTTGGGAGATGAAATCCTTCAAGAGTCAAAGAGAGAGAAAGACCTGGGGGTCGATATCATGCTAGACCTGTCCCCTGAAGCCCATATCAGGAGGATAACATCAGCGGCATATGCCAGGTTGGCTAACCAAAGAATGGCCTTTAGAAACTTGTGTAAGGAATCATTCAGAACTTTGTATACAGTACCACATATGTCAGACCAATCCTGGGGTATGCAGCTCCAGCTTAGAGTCCATATCTAGTCAAGCACAAGACTAAACTGGAAAAGGTTCAAAGGTTTGCCACCAAACTAGTGTACTAGTTTGTACCACTACTGTATATCAGTGTGATAGCTCCAGGGAGACGAAGGGGCCTCTCTACAGAAAATGTTATATATTCAATACATGCACAGGTGTAATTACAATTTGTGTAAAACATTCAGAGCTAGGTTGAACTCTGACCACGTGTTTTGAGATTAACACACCAACCGCAACGGTTTAGCGGGTCATAATCATGCAATAAAATATATACAGTGTAATTATATGTAAAGTGTATTTATACAGTGTAGTAGCTGCAAAACAGTATATTTTATTGTTATAAGCAAATAATATACTGTAGTGTGCATATTAGTGACAAATATATTTGAGCATTCCAGTGTTCCATACATTATATTATATAATTTTCTCAAAAGACACTATTGAGTAATATAACTGAAAAAAAACACAGGAAAACAAATCAAAGACATTGAAATAAGTATGTAACTCCAGCCTCACGCCTGGCTCGGTGCGACCACCCCAGGGGAATTGCTCGATGAGCGCTCATGAATCATGACGTCACCATGAGACTCCCAGGCTTCAACCATGGCCAAAGTCAGTCACATACAACGGAAAACATTTTAACAATACCATATTAGAAAAAAAATTCTTGCACACAAGGGGCACAGCCCAGGAGTTAAACAGGGAATTGCTGGCCCTGACAATTGTCACGGTAAAATCTCTAGGAAGAGATTCGGCCTGCTCCATTATCACCTATTCTACCCATTACCACGTCTATATAATCAAGTACTGCAGCAACAACTACTACTTCTTCCAGACGTCTAGACAGTACTACCAGTCTCCCCCCTTCACCACTGCCCGTCACACCACCTCGCACCTGGCAACGCCCCGGGAGCTCACGCCACCCGAAACAAGCAGTTTAAGAGCCGGTTAATAGTTAGAGAAATCACCAGCGCCCTCTGCCCGGCTGTCATTGTGTATAAATAGGGCTGCCTAGCCCACTACAAGTCAGATTACTCCTGAGTGCTCTTGCTGAGTAGACCTGTTGACATACCCCGGCGTGGTAACAGAGCTATTTAGTTTGACTCACAGTATATTCCTGCACCATATTTTCTAGTATTAATGTAACATAAATTTAATTGTCTGTTTATCTTGTTTAATTTGCACTCTGTATAAAGCCAAGTTTAATTAACGTTTTTTTTTTTAATTTGTTTAAAGTAAGATTCCTATTAAAGTTAAGTATTATTAAATGTTTGTTCTGTTTTCTCCTACAGTTAACCTCACAGTGAAGACAACTTGCAGTTTAACTTTTTTTTTTTTTACTTTTACTTTTAATTTTGTGACGGGCATTCCATCTGCCTAGAGAAGACTGCATTAACACCTATTTTTTTACCGTCACACAGTTTCTGTTTATTACAAGCTAGAGTTGATGATAATACTGCTCACTGCTTTGTATGACAGCAAGTGGATCCTTCAGTAGTAGCTAAAGTTGGATTCCCCCACTGTCTTTTTTTCCCAGTTTCTTTGAAAAGACCATGTGTAAAGATCTGTCATGGTGGAAGATCTTTACACAAGATCAACAAGAACCTGGCAGGTAATACGAGTCCTGGGTGAACCACATATGCTACGATTTAAAAATAATCAGGGAAAACTGGTTTTTATTTCTTTATTCTCAACATCCCAATTTTTCACTAAAAAGCAATATGTGTTGCCATGTCATCATTTTACTTACCCACTCAGTATAAATTTGAACTTTTTAACAAAACTATTATAAATAATCTTCAGTTTCATAATACTAGAATAGCTGCACATTGACTTTAAACATCAGAACATTATTAAGCAGCTTTCTTTAAACCACAGTATACTTATTATTAATCACTAAAGCAATGCAAGTCATCTACAAAAATTGAACTGGTTTAAAAGTTTACCTACCCTCGAATTACTGCGACTTCGAAATTCTGAATCGGAGTCAATTGACAAACTTGTGAACACGATGTTTGGAACTGACACCCCACTTCCTTCTTGCTGGTATGTAACTGCAGCACTGTTTGGTTGTGGCAACGAAGCCTACGATAGAAAACATTAAATACAATAAGACCAAGTTAGGTATTTAAGACAACATTATTAAAATGCCAAACAGACCAATGAACTTCAAACTATAGTTTTTTTTATTAAGATGTACAATAACAATTACAATAATACCCAAACTATTAAAGACACATAACTCTCCTGATGCATGACGTTGACGTGACTTCTCTCTCAATTTGAATGCTGATAAAGCTTCATCAATAAAACTTTGTGGCACCTTAGCATGAGACACTTTAACTCTTCCAACAAACAGTACCTGCAAAAAAAAAATGACAGGCTCATCTAATAGAAATGTGAATAACAGAAATACTGCATATTTAAGTATAATATAAAACCAAATACTGTAATGGGGAATTCCTCAGACAGACTACCCTCCAATGCAAGTCTCTTAACACAAACTATAAACCTAATGAAAAATAAATTTCACTAGGTGTAAAAACCAGCGTTGAATGTAATGAAACACCATATTCTGGGAGAGTCCCAGAGGCTCCCCGGAGCTTACCGAGCTAATATGTATGTATTAGACCGTGGCATCAGTTAAAATGCGCGCCTTTACATTGCGAACAATTTGATACCAAAATGAAAGATGTAACACAAAAATTTATGTCAGAACACTGGAAAAATATAAATAATTTTGTGATGATGAGTGTCCAAAATTCAAATATTTGTTAAAATTCCAGTTATTGCTCTATTATTATGGGACTAGTTTTAAAATACGCGCCTTTATATTGCTAACAATTTGATACCAAAATGAAAGTCGTAACACGAAAATTGATGTTATCAAACTGAACGAGTATACACATTAGGTTGTGGTGTGCCAATTGGTGCTCGTTTACGGGTAAGTTCAGGCTTTCCTGCAGGGAGTCACGCCGGGTTTTTATACATTATATGCATATACACCTGCAGGGAAGTTAATTGCAAACACAATGATACCAAAACGAACGACGTAGCACGAGAATTAAGGTGAGAAAACTGAAACGAGTATACACATTTTACTGATTTTGTGCGCTGATGGGTAACTTTTGTCGACTTTAGGCTTTGATGATGGGAGTCACGCCAGGCTTTTGGACATTATATGCATATACGCCTGTAGGGAATTATATTGCGAACACAATGATACCAAAACGAACAATGTAGCACAAGAATTAAGAAGCACATAAAAAAACTGGAAAAGGTGCAAAGACATGCTACTAAGTGGCTCTCAGAACTGAAGGACAAGAGCTACGAGGAGAGGTTAGAGGCATTAAATATGACAAAACTTGAAGACAGAAGAAAGAGGTGATATGATCACTACATACAAAATAGTAACAGGAATTGATAAAATCAATAGGGAAGATTTCCTGAGACCTGGAACTTCAAGAACAAGAGGTCATAGATTTAAACTAACTAAACAAAGATACCAAAGAAATATAAGAAAATTCACTAAAGCAAACAGAGTGGTAGACGGTTGGAACAAGTTAAGTGAGAAGGTGGTGGAGGCCAAAACCGTCAGTAGTTTCAAAGCGTTATACGACAAAGAGTGCTGGGTAGACGGGACACCACGAGCGTAGCTCTCATCCTGTAACTACACTTAGATAATTACACTTAGGTAATTACATTCCAATTCTAATTTCAAACTGGAATTTTACATGTACAATACTGTCATTTTCACTGACTATATGCCATTTTCTTGCTTCATATTCCCTAAGCATCCATAACATCTACAGTACTGTATACCAACTAATACATTAATTGTTTAACTTGACTTACCTCAAAAAACTGTGATTCATTATGAACATAGAGATCAGGAAGAGAATTCAAAGATGACAATGAAGAGTTCTCTGAACACTGCTGTACTTCTTTTGGCTGCTGACGTAAGCAAGTGAAAAAACTTCGAACCTGGATAAAAAGATTTTTGGAGAAGAATTAGAAGTTTATCATACAATATTATATATATCTCACCAATTCACATACAAATGTGTATTTTGTAAAATGATCCTACACTAGTACACAAGTTCCTAACATTTTAAAATGTAATTATTAATCACAAGGTAACAAAGAAATGTGATTGTTTTAAATATTTTGGCCATTCTTGACAGGACTTCAAAGCAACATAAAAATCAATAGATTTTATTAACAATGTTAGACAAACAATGGAACTTTGGTACAAAAACAGCCCCTAATCGAACACTTCGGCACTCGAACGCTGTGTTCATGTTTGGTAGTCAACCATTTGTTCGGCAAATCACACGTAAATACACATCTCAGGTGAGTCAGTTTCCCAGTAGCTGTTGTTCAGTGCACAACACCACTACACTTCTCTAAACATTCTTGTGTTTTCTTGGATATTTTTTATATTCTTAGTGTAAATAAGTCGCAGTGGCACCTAAGAAAATGTGTAACAGTTAGCGATAAGAGCCAAGCAAAAAAAAAACCAGCGTTGAATGTAATGAAACGCCATTTTCTGGGCGAGTCCCGGAGGCTCCCCGGAGCTATCCATGGCTGATATGGATACCCTAACTATTTTGCATCAGTCGATGTGGGTGGAGTTCTAGGCCTACCGGGGACCACGAGCCAGAACCTGGCCCCCTCAGAGAGGCACGGGGAGCAATGGCCCATAGAAATGCACGTGTGATTTATAGCATTCTATATCTGCCATCGACCGGGACAGGCACCCAGAAAGGTAAGCGCCACAAAACAAACCCCTATTCTGGTTAAACAAAAATCGACAAACGAGTGGACAGAACTCCCCCAGGAAAACGAACTAACAAGCATGACGTCATGCGAGCCGCACCGCATGTCTGCGCAGCTCCCCTCTCCCCGGGAGGGGAAAGGGGGAGCCCCAGACCCCCGCGCCGGTGATCCCCGCCCCAGTTCTGAGGCTGGATATCAAAACCGTGAAAAACCCGCCGACCGGAGGGCGGGAGGGTGCCAGGGAGCCTCCGGGACTCACCCAGAAAATGGCGTTTCATTACATTCAACGCTGGTTTTCTGTGGGGAGCCCCTATGGCTCCCCGGAGCTACCTCACCAAAGACTACCTAAAAAACAAGGGGACATACCCGGGAGGCGGTCGGAGAATCACTCCACAACACGAAGTCGAGACAACAACCCAAGGAATAGCATTCGCCAGAAAAAAGGGAGAACGGCCGCAGACGAAGAAAACCTATGATCACGACAATAGGAGCCAAAAACCACTGCGCCTGAGAAGAGCAAGAAGCTCTGCCACACGGCCCCCAGAGGCGAATGCCAACACAAAAAGAAAACTGAGGCAAAGCAAACCTGACCCCAAGGAGCCACAACCACCAAGGAGAAGAAAAACAGGAGAGCACCCTGTCCAAAGACCAGGACGACACAGACAGTGCATAAGCAGGCCGGAGGTGAAACAACGCACAATACAACCTGCGAAACGGCGCAGAAGGAATATCGATACCGAAAGCTAGCAGCAGAAACCAAGGTGCCAGACCCCGGAATGGCCCCAAGCGCCTCTACATCCTCCGCAAGCCAATCCTATGACAGCCCCAGGAGGGAAAAGAAAACGTAGGACCAAAACGAAAATGCCACAAGTGTGCAAGACCACCTCCACAAGCGCAGCTGACAGGGAAGGAACTCGCATAAGGAGCCGCCCCGCACCAACATCCCGCAGAAGGGCAGGAGCGAAAAGACTCATTAGGAGGAGCAAAATCGCTCCCAGGAAAACAAGGAGCGCCGAGACAGTGTGAAGAGAAGAGATATTCACAAAAGAACAAAAAGGCCAACACCCAGAAGCTGCTCGGAAGAGGACCCACAAGCCCTAGAAAGGACTGGAGGGAAGCTCAACCTTAGGACGACAGACGCACCAGAGAACGGGAAGGAGCAAAACAGTCCCGAACCTTCGAGAACAAAAAGAAGCAAACACAAAGGACGTAGGCCCCAAAACCCCGTCGCACCCGAGACCAAAAGTCATGCAGAAACCCCAAGAAGAGGGGGACATGACGGAAGAAGGCCCGTCCCGGAAAAAGGGGCGAAGATCGTAGAAAAGCACCCACCGACAGGACGGAAACAACGGGTACAACGGACAAGGAAACCAAGCCCAGGGAGGGGCCGACGCCCACAAAGCATGTGCGGAGAGGGGGAACGGAAAACCCCACACCACAAAACTGCAAGTCCCCCCCAGAGGGTTAGAAACACCCCGGCGGGGACCAACGGGGCCTGAGGCCTCTCATGTGAGCCCCACCCCAGCCCCGGGAACCCACCCTGCAGGTCCTGGGGCCGAGCTGTCCCCTCAAAGCCCCAGCGTCAAGAAAACCCCGGGGCAGCCATGAAAAACACGAAGGAAGGGAGCCCACTAGGCTCCGGAACCTGAACCGAAACCGGAGGATAGGCGAGGGGCGAGATGAAGACCCCAAGCTCATCCCCAGCCAGCACAATAAGGCGAGGACAAGACAGTGAAACCAAGGAACATGGAAAAACCAGGCCCTGCACGGCAAGACCGGCAAGGAAGGAGAGCCCCAGAGGGAGCACAGAAGGGCCGAACATAACGCCACAACCAACCCCAACACGCAGCTGCAGTACCAAAACCACAGCAAAACGTCACCACACTCCCCGAGGAAGCGACAGAAGATAGATAAATCGTACACGAGTGGCACACAAGGGGACATAGGCGGAAACCGAGCACCCAACTGAGCCACAGGGACGGTAGAAGAAACGTGTGCAGTGTAACAGGCAATCAAAGGAACACATTAGGCAGCCCAACATGAGCCGACCCCATACACAGCCCCAAGAGCAGAGATGAGAGTGCCCAAGAAGCACAGAATCCGCCCGACAGGCAAACGACAGGGGAGAGGTGGAAACAAAAAGCCAGAACCCAACCTGCAAACACAAGGAGGCGAACACAAAACCTCGACACAGGAAAACTTACTACCAAACAGGCACCCCCACCGTTGCACTGCGGAACAAGGTGGAGGCGGGGCCCCGAACTCAAGCAAGGTTAGACAAGCATAGGAGAGGGGCAGGAGGAGTACAGGCAGGAACCGCCTCTGAAGGGACAAGAGGCCACCTGCAGACACCCGTGAACCGAGGAAGGAATCAGGTGGAGAGAACAAGAGCTGCCCAGTATGGGCTAATAGCCCTGCAGTAGGCACCTCGGGTGATACAGTCCACGTTCTCAAGTACGTATGTACACCCATTCCTGCTCCCAAAAACAAAAAGAGCGTCAGGATGGAGGAGACGCCAAAACCGCACCAACTCACCTGCAGAACATAGGCCCTGAAGGGCCATGACGCAAGCGTTCGAGTCCGTATCCGCCGGAGGCGGCCAGTGCACCCATGCTGGAGAGGAGGGGAGCAGCGAAGGAGGCTCCCCACCCTAGAACGCAGGGAAAAACCTCATGAATTCCACACAGCGGCACCCCAGAACACCCCCAAAGCAACGGGGCACGGATGGGAATAAGAAAAGAACGAGAGGCGAAGCCCCCCGAGAGAATTGGAGCAGAACACGTGTGCACACCGCCCGGAACCAAAACAAAATCCCACGGCGCATGCGCAGGACGCGAAAGAAAGTAGCCCAACCAGGCGAGAAGTAGCCCAACAAGGCGAGAAGTAGCCCAACAAGGCGAGAAGTAGCCCAACAAGGCGAGAAGTAGCCCAACAAGGCGAGAAGTAGCCCAATAAAGCGAGAAGTAGCCCAATAAAGCGAGAAGTAGCCCAACCGGCTACAAGGAGCCCAAACGATCACAAAGGAGCCCAAACGGCCACAAAGGAGCCCAAACGGCCACAAAGGAGCCCAAACGGCGACAAGGAGCCCAAACTGCTACAAGGGGCCCAAACTGTCCAGAGCAGAAGGAACCAGTATGGAGGCAAACTCCGGGACACGCAGGAGGAAGCCGCAAAGGCCAACCGCACCGCAGGTGAAGAGATGCGGTTAGCCGAAAACCTCCTGAAGACGGAACCGAAGAAACCACAGGGACACGGAACCGAAGAAACCACAGGGACACGGAACCGAACCCGGGGAGGAGCAGAACCCAAGCCCAAATCGTATGCAGAGGGGGGAAAGAAAACCCCACTCCTCGTAACAGTAAGCCCCGCTCAGAAGGACGGAAATCCAGGTGGGGCGCAATGGAGCCCAAGGCCCCCAAGGCTGCTCCTCCCCAACCCCAGGAGCCTCTGCACCAGGCCCCGGGGCCGAGTCGACCTCCAAAGCCCCAGCCTCACAAGAAAACACCGGGACAGCCGAGAGAGCTGAAAGAGAAGGGGGGCCCACTGGTCAAAACCCCGGAGCATCGGCCGGAGGAACAGACTCGAATGCCTCCGCAGCTACCCCGGACGGGGCAACCCCAAAACTGCCCAAGTCTCAGAACCTCTAACCCCGCCCCGACCCCGAAGCCTGCAGATGCGTAGGGGCCGGAAGCAGGAGGGGGAAAAACAAGGGGGGCGTGGAAGGAACCAAGGCCGAAGCGACCAAAACCACCCAAGTCTGGGTCCCTACACAAGCGGGGCAGCATCGGGGCGTCCGGGGAAGCGACAAACCAGAGCGCGTTGCAACATCCTACCCTGCAACGCGCAAGCTGCCTGCACCCACGGGAATATATCAGCAAACTGGGTGAATGGAGTCACGAACAAGCAACAAAGCTCGCAGGACTCAAGGGTCGAATGTGTCACCGACCCAACAGGCAGCATGACGGAGGCAAAAACAAGGAGAGTCACCCTGAGATCAAGGGACAGAGCAACCCTCAACTCACACAAAGCGAGAGGGGACGCAAGGGTCTCCACTATCGGACCCGAGAGCCCCCGGGGGGTTTCCCAGGGCCCCTAGACTGGGTCTGCTAAGGGTTATCCCAGGCAGGGTACTGCTAACCGGCGCCCCAAACTACCAAGCAAACTGCTAAAGCTGAACCCACGGGACGTGTCCACTCGCGAGGGCA